CTAAGAAACATCTCAAAAAGTGTTCAACATCATTAGTAATTATGGAACTGCAAATTAAAACTACCTTAAGATTTCACCTTACCCAACTCAGACTGCCTAAAGTCAAGTGAACAAATGATACCAAATGATGGCAAGGATGTGGAGAAAGGGAAGGCTCATTCATTCACTGCTAGTGGGATTGCAAACCTGTGCAATGCCTATGGAAAGCAGTGTGGAGAACTCTTTAAAAAACTAAAAATGAACCTACCATTTGACCCAGTTATACCACTCCTTGGCATATACCCAGAGGAATCATCCTATTGCAGAGACACTTGTACACCCATGTTTGTTGCTGCTCTTTTCACAATTTCTAAGAGATGGAAGCAACCTAAGTGACCCTCAACTGGCGAGTGGTTAACAAAAATGTGGTATATTTACACAATGGAATTCTATTCAGCAGTAAAGAAAGATGAAATAATGAAATCTGCAGGTAAATGGATGGAACTAGAAACTGTTATACTAAGTGAAGTAACACAGACTCAGAAAAACAAATGACATATGTTCTTCCTCATTTGTGGATCCTAGCATCAAATCCTTATAAGTGAGTGCATATCCTGATGCAACTGCAGTGACCAGGAATATGGAAGGGAACCAAGGAGGTAAAGAGAAAGAAGGAACACAAGAGAGAAGAATGGTAGGAGAAAGGTGTTACTGAGGGAGAAATATGTAAAAATGGGGGTAGTTAAAGGGAGGGGGCTATACAAAGAACTGTGGGAATTAAGGAGAAAAATGAATGAATTAATTTTCCTGATACACAGTGGAAAACAGAAGCCTTATCAGATGGAAGAAAGCCCTTCCAGAAGCCATAGGGTTGTTAACTGAAAATCCTAGTACCAGGGTTGGGTTGCACCCCCCCATGAGCTGTTGGCCAGAGGGCCACAGAGGGTCCCAAAACAATAAAGGCCATTGTCAATAATGCTGGTTGTATACAAGAAGTGGATGGTAAAACCCTATTGCTGAAGACACTGCATGATGTGAGTATGGGAGAGGGAGATATCAATCTTGGACTAAGATAGAAACTCCCTACTACTGGATGGGTGCCTTTCATAGTGCCAGAAGCCACTGGGAGAAAATTGTTCCCTATAATTCTGCTCAATGGTGGACCCACATGCTGCACTATCAATATGCCAAACAAGATGTTCTTACTAGTGCAATAGAGGCACGTCTAGTGTATGCAAATTTTCAATTGGATATAATGCCCGCTCCCAGGGAGTGGATCACACATCGGGTACTGTAGACCAGACCAACTCCCGTTATAGGCCCCAGTGGTGAAGCCACTGCAATTGTTTTGTTAGAGGGATGTGATGCACCTGCTAAAGTACCATCCAAGCATTTGTGTTTATGCCCATAGGTTAAGTTATTATAGCAGTCACTGTTTAGATGTTCTTGCTTCTTGCTGTTTATGTTTCTATAGTAGATGGAATCCCACTGACATGGGCAAATAGCCCATGGAAAACAGATGACACGGAGACCCAAAAGTTCAGTGCCTTGCCACAATGGGAAGAAGATCATCTCACACCAATCACTCCCTCCAAAGCTCAGGGACTTTTGTAAGAGGTTTGTGGAAAGAATGTAAGAGCCAGAGGAAGGGGTGGAGTGTTACCTGGAAGTGTCCTCTGACCATGCTGCTGGCAAACTATAATCACAACTCCTTCCCATGCTTGTCTAGGAGTCGAGGAGTCAGTTACCCCTCCCACACAATCAGTTACCACTCCACAATCAATAACTGCATGTGGGGGAGAGACTACAGATATGTAAGCCGAGAATGCCATGAGGCACCTCTATTGCCATTTTGTGCGGCTGTTGGGAAATCACAAGATCTGTGTTTGAATGAGGATTTTCCAACACACCCGTAAATGGGGGAGAGGAGCACCCACTCTTCTCTAAGTAAATCACACCCCATGCTCTGTTAGCAAGCCCAATAATCTCCATAGGATTAAAAAAAAATTAGCAATGGCTAATACTTATTATGGAAAAAAACTATTATTTTAGAATACATCTATGCAATATTTATTGTCTTATATTGTATGGCTTTATTCTAATTGCTACATAATAAATTAATCAAAAAGAAAAAAATGGAATAGGTAGCGTCAGGCAGGACTCAGAGAAGGCTATGGGGAGGAAGGAAAGGGAACAGAGTTTCAAAGACACAGGGTTTGACAGTCTAGGGACAGGCAAATTATTTGATATGCCAACATTATATAAACCAGATGTGGTAGCTCATACCAGATTATAATCCCAGCACCTGAGAGGCTGAAACAGGAAGATCAGAAATTCAGAGCTATCCTGCTCAGCCCCACAGTGAGTTCAGGTCAGCCTAGGCAACAGATGAGATCCTGTCTTTAAAGACTTATTCTTATTTATGTTTATGTATATGTATCAGGACCTCAGACACTGTGGCAAGAGACCTGACACACACCAGTACTTTACTAGTAATTCAGTGCACAATATTCAAACTTACGTGTTTATAGTTATGCTAACACTGGGCATATTTCCAAATGTCTTTGCCCCACCCATGAACAAGAAAATGATCTTGAGGTCTGAGTTCACTTTTCATCTTTAAGTAAGAACAAAGAATTTGAAGAGAGTCTATGAAGGTAGTAACAAGGGCTGGAGAGAAAACACAGGC